TGCAGCCCCCGCACCGCACAGCTCAGCTCCCAGGCGGGAGGCTGCGCCCCTGTCTCCTTTTCTCCCCGGGGGGCCGCAGGAGCCCCACTCCGCGCAGGACCCACCTGCGCTGGGGCTGGAGTCCTGCAGGGCGCCCGCACCAGCCCTGCCCGCCCACCGCGTGCTCCCGGGAAGGCGCGCGCCGGGTTGTCCCTGCCGTTCCAAGCGCTGGGGCGCGGGACGTCTTCCGCTCCTAGCCCTGCTCGCTCCGGGCGTCGGTGGCGGCGCTGAGGCTTCCGAGCACGAACTGCTGTCACCGTCTGAGCAGAGGCCTTAGGCCAAGTTTCCCACGTCTCAGAATCATTGCACAGGTCGACAGTCCTTTTCAGGTATGTATTTATTGACTTACTTAATCTCACCTGAGGACATGCTCGTTGATTTTAGAGAGAGGGAATGGAAGGGAGAGAGGGAAACGTCGATGGGAGAGAGACACATCAATCGGTTGCCTCTCGGTGTCCTGACCGGGGACCGAACCTATGTCCCAGGCAGGCGCCCGGACCAGGAATTGAACCCTCGACCTCTCGGTGTATGGGTGCTGCTCCCACCAACTGAGCCACACCGGCCAGGGCTCGGCAGCACTTTTTAAGTTGCATAAGTCGCACTGCATTTCCTAAAGCAAACACCTGTAACCTGGCGCTCTGGTTCCCGGGGACGCCGCCGGATGAGGACCAGATGGGTGTGCGGGCGGGGGCCCTTCTGGGCCGGCTTGGCCGGCTCCCCACGGGCCCTGCGCTTCTCAGCTCTGCTTCCCTTGGTCTCCCTGGTTTCACTGCCGGCAGCGCATTGAGTAGCACGTGTTCCCTTCACCAGGTGTTTTTATTCATCTAAATAACATTTAATGGACAGTTCAATGAGAAATGATCAAATTTCCAGCAAAATTATATGTATATTCTATATAGTACCATATTGTATATCATACAATTCTGTAATTTTATGTGTATTTCTATAAATAAGTTACATGCATTATATAACACCTATAAATTATATCATTACACATATTTATATACATAATACGCATTTCCTAGCCAAAAAGGGCAGGAGAAAAGAAAGTACAGTTGATCCACGTGGCTCATGTGTCCTTGGGTCCGCCACCCTCCCAGCCTCCTCCCTGGTACTTTCTGTTTTCCAGGGCCTGTGAAAACTGGGGCGGGAGTCACGCGCGTCCCACGCAGTGCATCTTAGATCCTGGTTTGTTTTTTTTTAATTTTATTTATTTACATTTTACAGCCGCTGGCACCGGCCCGCGCAGGAGCAACCGTCGGCCAGCCACGGTGGCGATGGGGCAGGCGAGCGACCAGAAATCACACAGGTCCTGGACGCCACAGGCCTCCGGTGAGAATGAGGTCCCAGAGAGCAATTCTCCGCCCCGCTGAAAGGCAAATGGCTGAGGTTCATCGGGCACGACTCTCCTCCTCACGCCTTGCCCGCGCGCACGCGCGCACGCCGCTGCTCTGTGTTCTTTGCATTCAGTGTGAATATCTCATCTGCTCAGGATTTGGCTTCTCTCTTCTGAAGCATGAGTGTAGGTTATAAAATGCAAGGGAACACATTTAACCACATATTTCTTTCTGAGTTGGTAAGATCAAATCTTTTTACGTGTGCAAGTTTAAATTCCCATTGAAGGGCTTGTTACATCTCTGCTTCCTCTGTGACAGCCTGTTTCTTGGAACCTCTACGAGGCAACCTAAAATTTAACTAGACATCATGAACGTGGAACTACAAGGAGGGAAGAAGAGTTTAAAGATACATTTCTCCACGTTTCAAGTAAAGTAGCACCGACCGCACCTACTTCTGGAGACTTAATCCCCTGGAATTCTCTTCTCAGCAAACTAAAGGAACAGCGCTGCCCTTTCTAGCCACAGGTCAGGCCAACGCGGCGTTTAGTCAGTCGGCTTTCTCGAGGGGCCCGGTCCCCCCCACGCACAGGCGGCCGTGGAAGGGGGTGCCCTGCAGACGGGCCGCTGCCCCCACCGGTACGGCAGCCCTTTAATTTTTACTTACAGCCCACCCTCTGAATCGCTCTGTCCGGTAAAGGGGCTTAAAAGATGATTCATCCACGTATCAGGTTAAACGACTTCAAAATTTGATTAATTTGCTAAAAGGTGTGACTTCTTGGTGGTTAGAAAGTGCGATGCTCTATAGGCTGTTAAATACAATCGACAGATTTGCATCGCTTGTCCCCCGAGGTGGGTTAACGCTCCGAGGCTGGTCCTCGGCACCTTCTGTTTCCAGAGCCCGTGACACCCAGGGGGGCAGAGGGTTGTTACGTGTCTTTGGTCTTAGAACCTGGTTTTCAAAATGTTTCTAAAGACTTTTTTCATGTCCCAAGTTTAACCCGAATTTTTAAACTATCATAGTCATATACATGTGATATATGAGTTATATATTCCCAGTACATATAGTGATGGTTTAAAGTTTTAAATAGATTTAAGTTTTAGAGATATTTAGAAGTATTTGCAGACCCATGCTGACTTAACTGGAACTCTTACTTTTTAAAAAGTGTAACTAAAAATACTTTTAAAAATAAAACTAAAAGTTTAATGTAAAGGGGAAAGTAAGATTTTAAAAACTCACACATTTAAAAACTTAATCTTTTCCGACCTCACCCAATGCAGTTTTGTGGTCTTTTTATCTCACATTTCAGTCTGTCTGTTAGGTGGGGTTGATAATAAATCCCACGTGATTTTATTTTTATACAGCATTTCTGGAGCACTTAAATACGATGTCTTAAATGTATCAGGACTCAGCAGTACGATGAGAACAGAAGATGAACATTCTGTCTACTTATTATTCTTAAAATGTGGTATCAAAATTAACATATGGCTCAGCATATTATCTTGGCATCTTGAACAATGACAATTAGTGGAAGAATTTGTCAGCCTCAAAATTTTCCTGGCCTAAATATATGCTGGTTGTAAGAGTCCTCGTGACTTTAGAATCACGGGTATTCTGTGGATTTCAGGCTGCTTTTAAACCTTTATCAATAAACCAAAGTCGGTTGGCACTACGAACTGTCGTTTGGATATTAACACACCACTCACAAGTCGGTTTTTTAAAAAAACATTTTATTCACTTATTTTTAGAGAGAAAGGAGAAGGGAGAAAGAGGGGGAAAGGAACATCCATGTGCGAGAGAAACGCTGACCGGTTGCTTCTTGTACACACCCCGACCAGGGCCTGAACCCGCAGCCTAGGCCTGTGCCCCAACGGGGAACTGACCCTGTGACCTTTCACTTTGTGGGCTGATGCCCAACCAGCGGAGTCACGTTGGTCGAGGCCAAAGCGGGGTTTGGGGGAGATTCGGGAAAACAGTAATGATCAGCACTGGCTTACAGCCTCCCCTGTGGGGTACACTTCACGTGTGCCGTGTATCTTTCATCAAAAACACCCTGCCGGGAGCCCACACCGCCTTCCTGGCAACACTGGATTTTCTCTTTAGCAGTGCCACATGGCCTTCCTGTGGGCACCAGCGATGTCACCGCCAGCTTCACAGACTACTCCCTCACTCGGAGCGCCGAGTCAGCCCCGGTCACAGCCGCGGCAGGAATAAAGCCCTCACTGTCACACTCAGCTGCCGCGGGGTCTGATGACCCGCGCGGCATGTGGGGAACCTCGCTTAGACAGTGCCAGCCGTCCGCACACCCGGGCGCTCCCCACAAAGACGGGACAAAACAGCAAAACAACTTGCGTCTATGAAGCAGCCCGGGGACTTAGAGGCCTGAGGGGATAGGACGCCAGCCCACGACGATGCCGTTTATACACATACGCTTTCCTGCACGTGGCCGCACTTTGATTTTGGGAAAGAAGACTGGAGGTCTATTGAAGAATTCATCCCGCATGGCACCGGTTCAACACCTCCGGCTTCCCGCTGAAAAGCCTCCTTATGCGGCCGCTGTGCGCGGGGCGGCAGACAAGCAGGCTGGGGACAAAGCCCAGCGGGCCCAGAGATTCCCAGCTGCTGGAGAGAAAAGTCTCCACGCTGGAACGGACAAAGTGGTGACGAAAATGAAGAGGCTCTGTCACAGGCAGCGCTCTGTGTCCATCACTCATCTTCGGCATTTCAAATACGCAGGCTTTTTGCTGTGACACATCGTGGACCCTGCGAGAGAAGCCCCCTGCAGCAGAACGAGCGCTGTCTGGCATGGGGGTCAGCCTGTGGGGGCGCGCTCTGCAGCCAATTTTTCTTTTGGGGGCAGGCAATGAAAAACACCCACGGGAACAAATCTCTCACATTTACAGACCTTGCAATGGGAATTAATGTTGGGTCTGCACATGCCCTGGGGCACGTACAGGCTTTCGCACTGTCATGTAGCATAAACGACCCCCCCGCCCCCATTATTTGTTATTTTCGCTCTGCGGTCCGTGGTCCGTCTGTGCAGCCTGGCAGATCCGGTTTGAGCAGCTCTGTGTTCTGGGCAGCCCCAGCCCGAGGAGTCGGGGCAGCGCCGGGGACTCCGCGACCCCCCGGAGGCCTGGAAAGACGCGGGAGGAATTCACAACATGACCGCTGACACTCAGAGCGCGGTGATTTACCCTCCTCGGAGGAAGGCCGCCTCGGAAAGTCGGCTGTGGCCTGACCCCACAGCAAGGGAGTCGCCCTGAAGGGACACAGGAACAATCGGGGGACCCCGCGGGGCACGGCGGGAGGGAGGGGGACAGCGCCGGCCTCCTGTGGCGGTCAGCGTGGCCGGACGCCGCACGCGCGGGCGCGGGTCTCCTCCGCCGGCTCGTCAGTTGGCGACCCAGCACCTCTGGGACCCGGCCCCGCTGGCCGAGCGTGCCGCCGTGGGAACCCAGCCCCGCCGCCCCGGGCCGGGATCCCCGCGGCTGCGCGAGCGGGCGGCGCGGCGGTGCGATGCGGCGCGCGCAGCAGCACCTAGCGGAGGCCGCCCGAGGTGCGGCGGCGGTGCGCGTGCGCGCGCGCAAGCACGCGGCGCGGCGGCGCGCACGGCGGGCGGGGCGGCGCGGCGCGTGCGGGCGCTCGGGGCGCACACCGGCCGGCGGGCTGACGCGGGCGGGCCGGCTGAGGAGACTGAGGCGCCCGCGGAGCCGGGAGCGGGAATCGCGGGGAGCGCGAGCGGCCGAGGAGCCGGCGGAGACCGAGGAACGCGGCGCGGCGGCGCCAAGGCGGCCAAGCGCGGGAGCCGGGCCGCGGACCTGTGGGCGCGCGGTGCCGCCCGGCCCGGCCCCACCCGCGTCCGCGCCCCCGGCCCCGACCCCCGCGGCGCCCGGGCGGAGGAGCGCGGCCGCGAGGATGTCGGCGGGCGGCCGCGACGAGGAGCGGCGGAAGCTGGCCGACATCATCCACCACTGGAACGCCAACCGGCTGGACCTGTTCGAGATCAGCCAGCCCACCGAGGTGCGCGCGGCCGGCGCCGGCCTCCCCCCTCCTGAGCCTCCCCCTCCGCGGGCGCCCCCCTCCGGGGGACCCACGCCCCTCGGGGACTCCCGCCTCGGGCCGTCCCTGTCCCCAGGGCCCCCTGTCCGGCGCCCCGGGGTGGCCGCGCGGGCCGGCGCGGGTGGAGCGCGGTCACCTGTGCCCAGGGCCGCCGGGCGGGAGCCCTGGGCCGGGTGGATGTCCGGGGCCGGGGGCGGGATCTGGGTCCAGAGGTGGGGGTCGCGGGCCGGGAGCGGGGTCGCGGGCCAGGGTCGGGGTCTCGGGCCCAGTTGGGGGTCGCTGGCCGGGTCTGGGGTCGCAGGCCGGGGTCGGGGTCTCGGGCCTAGGGAGGGTCGCGGGCGGGGTGGGAGTCGTGGGCCGGGGGCGGGATCGCGGGCAGGGGGCGGTGTCGCGGGCTCGGCCGAGTCGCGGGCCTCTGGGTCCGGAGGCGGGGGTCGCGGGTCGGGGGCGGGGTCGCGGGCCGGGTCTGCGCGGGGGCCGCCCAGGGTCCTGCGGCGGGAGGAGGGCGTGGTCGGACGTTATTTCTTCCCGTCGCACCGCGGTCGCGGCCCGGGCTCGCGGCGCCCTGCCTGTGGGCCACACGGACCTTTGTCACTTGAGAGAGCATGTGACCGGCGGTGTTTTGCTTCAGTGGGTTTGGAAACTTGGGGGGGGTTGCCAGCCGCGAGAGTAAAGCAAATATCAGGAAAGTTGCTCTGATTGTGTGGATTCGCTGATAACGCGGCCGGGAATTGAACTCCAGTGGAAAAAAAGGGGCTTCTCCCATTCGTCGCCTGCAGCTCAGGTTGAAGGAGGAACGCCCCTCCCCCAGCGGGCTGGTCCGGCGTCCGCGGGCGGCGGGGCCCGGGGGTGGGGCGGGGTCCGCGCCGCCGGCAGTCGCCGGCCCGCCGCCCCCGGGCCGCCCCCCGCCCCGCCCCGTCCCGCGCAGCCGGCCGGGCGGCGGGGTGGCGCGCCCGGGGCGTCCTCGGAGAAAAGGAGGAAATCACACTTGCTGGGCTCTGGGACAATGGTCGTTTGTAGCAAAACTACTGAGAGTCCCAAGCAGTGTTTCAAAAAATGGGGCCGAGCCCCGTGCGTAGGGACAGGGGAGGCTGTGCGGGCGGAGGGCCCTGGGAGTCGCCTCCCGCGGGCTGCCCTTCGTCCCGCAGCCGCGGTCGCTGAGTGGAGTGGAGCGACGCGGCCGCGCGTCCCGCGGCGTAGGCGCCCTCTTAGGCCCGTGATGCGGCGGCGTGCGGCTTCGGTTGGTTTTCTCGGGTAGCTCAGCGTTACTGCGATTCGCTAAGATTCCAGCTCAGATTGGGCGCATTTAATATTCTCATGAAACTCGGTCCCTGTTCTTATCCTGAAACCCCAGTTTCTGTTTCTGGGTGCAGGGGTCGGCTACCTGTTTGAACCGAGTGGTGATCCCTGCGGCAGCAGGGGCGCCGTCCCTGGGCCTTCCCGGGTCAGCCCAGTCCGGGAGGGCCCGCCGCCTGCGCTCCGGCCAAGGGGGCTCGGGCGCGGGGGCGAGGGCGAGGGCACGGCCCGGGGAGTTGGGTCTTTTCCGGGCCTCCGTGGTGCCCGGAGGGGGCGGGGCAGGCCGGGCGGGAGCCCAGGCCCGCGCTCCCTGCCCCGCCCCCGCTCTGCGCGGCGGTGGAATCGTGTCCGTCCTGCTTTGGTGCGTCGTTGCTGTGGTCGGGGCACGGCCGCGCCGAGCTGTGGCGTCCGGGAGGCGGGGTGCACTGCGTGCATCTTCGACGTGCGGAGTTCGCACTGCGGCCGCGTAGTCAGGCCGTGGACCCGGGTCGGGGGCTGCCCCGTGACGGCCGGCGCTGGCGCGCAGGTGGCGTGGAGGCGGTGCTGGCTCCTGGGAGGTCGCGGCGCCGTCCCTCGGGCGACCTCAGCGACAGAGCCTTCTTTCGGGGGACGGGTCCGTTTTTCTTACCTCTGGTTCAAAAAATTCGGATGTAAAATACTATCCTGGCACATAGTTGTGTTGTTTTCTGTTTGAAGCGCGGTCTATTTATAATTGCTTTTGGAGATATTTCCCAAGTCTGGTTGGGAAAAGGAATTTTTTCAGTTTTGCGATAGACAATTCAGTTTACTCTTTAGGATTTTAAACTTTTATTTTAAAAAAATATATATTATTTATTTACGTTTGGAGAGAGGGAGGAAGGGAGAAACATGGATGTGCGGTTGCCTCTCGTGCGCCCCCTACTGGGGACCTGGCCCGCATCCCAGGCACGTGGTCTGACTGGGACTCGAACCCGCATAGGTTCTCAGGCCGGCGCTCAGTCCACTGAACCACGGCAGCTGGAGGTGAGTTAGTTTTGTTTTTGTTTTGTTTTTTTTTTAAGAAAAAAAAACAAACCCTAAATCATAACAAGTTATAGTTATTTGAGTTCATTAAGTTGTGTTCATTAAGCCGAGTTCATTAAGCAGCCACTTTCAACTTTGTTTTCTTGGACATGGGTAGTGGCTGAAGCGAAACCCCCAGTTGTTTGGAGACCCCCTTGCCCAGGTCCCCCCAGGCGAGGAGCTGCAGCCTGTGCGCCTGTGTCCTAACAAAGCAGAAGCTGAAGAGCTGCCGCTGAAAGTGGCGATTTTGTGTAGTGGTCTTCCCCCCTCCCGCTGTGCCTTTCCAGACGTGCTCTCCAAGGTTGTAGTAGAAGGCTTTTCACGATGAGATTAATTGTGGTTTTTAAGTGTCCATAGTTGTTGTTTTTGTAGCTCATTTGTTTTCTCATGTGTAGGTCACACTTTGTTATATTTTCTGGAGAACCTTTGCATAGTTGTTACTCAGGTTTTAGAAGTTAAGGTTTGCATTAAATGTGCTGTATCTTTCACTATGATGTAGGTAAACTCACGTTAATTCTCTAAGCCAATATGTCAAGGCCAACAGTTTTGTTTTTGCTTTATCTAAACTTGTCTGAAATTTTCTACCATCTTGATGAATTTTTGTTGTTTGACCATCACAGGTTATATTTCTTAGTTTTCGGCAAGAATGCCAGCACTGTGCTGGCCTTTGTTACGTTCAACAAATGTTGAGCAAATTTCCTGCAGAGTTTGACCTGCAGGAATAAAATGTAAGCCTTATATTTATGTACTTGGACAATCTTTTTGTATGTGTGTATGAGCGCGTAGTTGTGGTTTATTTTCTTTTGTTTGCTTTTTTGGCCAGGTTCAGTGACAGTACCTGTCATCAGATTTTATCATTCTGTTGATCATCTGTGATTGGTGGTTTTAGGCAGCCTTGATAACCACTGATAATTCTGTGGTTTTTCTTTCGGAAGATGATAGGCTTGACTTTTGGATTACATTCACTTTTTAAGAAAATCAGAATGTTTCAAAGTCAACCTATACGTTTGCCTTTTTTCCTTCACGTTGATATTTGGGTGTAAAAAGAGGGCTTCCAAAGAGAACACAGGTAAGACGCTGTCATTGCGCATGTTCCACCCCCTCCCTCACGTGGGTCCTAGATTCTTTTGGAGTTCCCAGTGAAGTTGATGGTGGGAGACTGATTTTAAACAGAACTATTGTCTTGATTATTGTGGAAAACTGTAACTCAATACAAACTGTAACTTAACACACACTTCTTAAAGCTGCTTAGCCGTGCCCTTTTCTTATTTTCAGTGCCGAGGCTCGCTTGCTTTCAGGGGGTTCCGACTGTTCACTATGGGAGGGTGCTTCTTGCCGGTCGTGGTGTCCCCTCCGCAGCAGTGGGCTCTGTGTGTCCCCTCTGCTGGAGCCCCTCGTCCGTCTGTGTCCCGTGTCCGTCCCCCATTGTGTATAAGGGCAAGAGCTGAGAGTCCTGTTTTTAAAAATACTTTGGTGTCTGTCATATGGTAGGTGTTGAAAAGCGTTTTGTGGGAAGAGTATGGAATGTTGCTTTCTTCGTGTATTGGCAGCGTGAGGTATGTGCTTTTGTAAAGCAGTGAAGTTGTGTTAGGCTGTTACATGTGGAAGGCTTTGTTTTCAAGTCTCGTTCTTTCATATAAAGGTCACAACAAATGTGAAAGCTATGCTGGGTAGGTGGTCGACCACTTCTCTTCGTGAGATGTTGTATTTTTTGTTGTTTCTTGAGTTCATTGCCTTCTCTTTTGCACTGATGGGAGAAATAACCTAGAATTTGTGTGGACGCCCACATGCGCACTCTATTCAAGGGGAGTATGTTGTCTTAATGCTTGATTAATCTTGAGAAGTAGTGTGGTGATTCATGCCCGTTCGGTGTGTGTGAAAACTGTCCTCTGGCCGGCCGGCCAGCAGAGGCGGGGTGGGAAGGTCTCGGGCCCAGTGGGAACCGTCACGTAACCTGCAGTCACGTCTGGGTTCCAGGCAGGGCAGAGGCGGCACCTGGGCTCGGCCACGCAGCTTTGCTGTGCTCGAAGCTGCTTCAAAACCAGCCGCTGTGTCATTCCGCGTGAGTGCTTCGGGAGGGCTGGTCTTCTGGTGATTAATGTGTGAGGAGATCCCTGCCGGTGGTGTGTTCTCAGTGTTTATAGGCGTATCTGTTCCTTTCTTCCTGTTTGTTTTTATCACTCAAGCCTCAGTGGTGGCTCTACCTTTAATTCCTGGAATAACTGGTTAAGGTTTTTATTTGTATGGGTGTGTGCTTGTGAGTCTGAGGTGAAGACCTTGCCTAACCTCTTTTAGTTATCTTAAATTTGCTATCTTCCTGCCAGTGAAAAATAGCTTTACTTAATGCCATTTATAGACAATGCAATGTAAACGTTGTAACTGCAGGCTTTTCTAGAACCATAAAACTTTGAATGTTGTTAATGGTAGAATAGCAGTAGTAGTAGTTTTTTCATGATCTTGAAAAAATATGAATCACAGAAGCTCAGGATATGGAACCAAATTGGTGGGAAGCTTAAGAAAAAAGGGCTTAAGGTTTTGTCCTTGAGGATTTAATTGAGCAATCGCAGTGTGTGAAGCATTAGTACTCGATGTGGGTTGCCGATTCTGGTGGCACAGGGTAATTT